TCATCTCTAATTTCTGTACCTGAGACCGTGGTGAGTGAAAAGAAGAGTAAATTTTCTCCCTTCCCAGGATCAATGAAGTGCTCATTCTAGCTCTGTTCCTCCTGGAGTGGAGGTGATGGGGCCTGAAGAAGGAAACAAGTGAGCAGAAGGGAGGATTTTATATAAAAATACTACTTCTGACAGAATAGCCTTGACTTTGCTTTTTCCCTACAAGAGAATTCAATGTCTAGTTCAAGGTGTTGTAGAAGTAGAAGTTGCAAAGCAGCTTAGCTGAGCACTGGTGTCAATCTCAGATGGAGAAACTGAACACATGATTTACACATAGGGTCCTGCAGGTTTCTACCAATGGCACAATGCAAATATATCATTGGATCTGTGCATTCTGCTGAGCCATAGTCAATAGAAGAGTAACAACACTCCTATCACTGACTCTCCTCTGAATAGTTATCAGTTGTCTATACTTTGGCTAGGGGTGGGACTTCATGTTCATCTACAGTCCCCATGCTAGGATTTTCTCTAACTTTAGCTTGCACTGGTCATGGGAATGCAGTCATAACCTCTTGTGGAGTTCATCTATGCATTGGCCTACTGTGTCCAGAGACACTTTCCTGTAGTTATTCATATATATATGTATATATGTACATATGTGTATATTCATATGTGTGTGGTGTATTAAAACACAATACTCAGTGAGATATATATATAAACATTACAATATATCAATATATAAACCCTATGACACATACAAAAATAATAATCAAAGAAAAAGAGAATAACAACTTAAGAGTGGTAGGTGATATGGAAACTTGGAGTAAGGATACCTGGGAAGTGCTGGGAAGATGCAAGGGAGAGTGAAGGAATATAATTTTATACAAATTAAAAACTTTTTTAATAAAAACAGAAGAAGTTTGAGTAAGTATATCAGATTACAAAATAATAGACCAGGAGCATCCCAAACAGTCCTGACCCTGCTTGGCCAGACACACCAGGACATCGTATGTACACACAGATAT